TAACCAAGGCAATGCCGTGTTTAAACTTGATTCATTTGTTCCGTTTTTGTTTTATTTAAACAGCTGTGGGTTTGACAATCTTCCTTTTTTTTCTTTTTGCATTTTCAGAAAATTTAACGATTCCAGGAAATAAGAACGCTCTACAGATGTTTCCCACCAAGATTTCAGCCAAGTTGACCTCCTGGCAACCTGCAACGTTTGAAGAATTTCAGGTATGAGTGTTACCTTCAGACGGCGATTATTTATGTTGTCCAATATTATGCAGTTCAGGCATGCTAAAGAAAATCTCTTTTCTAGGAAAAACCGGAATTCAAAAGACTAATTGAAGAAGGTTTCGTACAAGAAAGTGACATGCTCTTCCAAGCTGTGTTTGAAAGAAGCAAAGGTAGGCTTTTGTTGTGAATAAGGTGGTTATTGTTTTTCTTAGTCTTCCACTAATATCATGGCCTGCTTTTTTTCTCCAGTTCAACTCGGGGTCTCAGTGGTTTTGTCCCAAGAGTATCCGACAACTCCGCCGCTTTTCTCCCTCGCAGTGACGTGTGGAAAGACAGTGATTAGAGACAGCCTCACGAAGGTATACATCAGCTTTCATTTCCTTGGCAAGCCTGCATGAGTTCACTGATACCCCTTGCACGTAAGCATAATGCAAACTGTTGCCATGATTGTGCTTTTGAGTTTTGATGAAAAATATAAGGTTTTTTTTTTTCAGGCAATTGAAGCGGAAGTGAATGTATTCTACCCGGAACTAACAGAGCACGACTCTTCTTTAAATCTGTTAGCCAATCAGCTTCGCCGCTTACAGGTTTGTAACACAACACATCCCCATGGGCCTTGTATACGACACGAGTGCCCCACCCTCCCCTTCCTCCTTCTTCCTGTTTTGACTGCTACAGCGATTAATAGAATTGCTTCTCCCCCTTGGATGTGATACGAGTCCCTACTCCCAGAATTTCGTCAAGTTTCCTTGCCAATTCACTGGTCCCCATTTATACTCCTGCAGCTGTGCGACAGTTGGGTGCCCTGCTTAAGAACACTCCACAATTGTCCCGGGTTATAGATATAGTTGATAAGTTAATGGAGTTATTGCATTGATGGCTGTTTGAGGAAAGAAATCGTCGTACGTCTCTTTTTTTAAGAATGAACTTTCGATGTCTCCACGTAAGAAAACCTGCTCAGCGTAAAGTGGCGGACTTATTTAAAGTTTCCTTTGATTGTGAATGTAATTTTGTACATGTTAAAATTATTGAAATCGATTTCTAGTCTAGAAATTAATATGTTACATCTCCTTAGACTTTGTTTTCAAAAGAAAACTAGCCAAATGATCCCTCAAGTGTTTAGAGTTCGCTTTGAAATAACTTGTCTTGTTTTTTCATATCAAATTTATCAAGATGATCATCGGAGTCCTTTTCCTTCTAGATGGTTGATCACCTGATAATGTAACCTCAATGTGTACTTAAGGGAAAAGGTTATCATTTGTGGTATTTCACTTTTGAGTTCGACAAAACTTTTCCAGACTAATCGCAGTATGTCACATCGTTTCAGATGTGTCTTGATGTCTATCTGGAGTGTGGAAGTCTGAACGATGTAGAAGGTGCAGAAAAATTTGATCGTGAAAAGTTTTTTCTTCGCGTAAAAAAGTAAGTGTTCAGTATGCTAGCATTTCTGATTCAACTGTTTGCGACCACGGTGGCCCACAACTGTCACAGCGAAAAGAAATCGCTTACGGCGAAAAGAAATCGCTCGCGGCGAAAAGAAATTGCTCGCGGCGAAAAGGAAAACTCAGAACGCCTGGGTGGGGATTGATTCGAGTAGGCTCGGATTGCATTATGGGTTGAGGTGCAGCACGCCATCTTGGAGCACGATGTTTTGCAGCACCTGCGGGCAGTGTCCACGGAATGAAGACAAGTTTTGCTCTCAATGCGGCAAAAGTATGGGATTTGAACTTACTTTACCACTTGTTTCTGAAAATCTGGTGTTGGCTTAAGTTTAGAATGCCCGGTCACTCATTTATACAGGAATAGACATGCCTTTATCTTTTAACACCTCAACCCATGATGCAATCCGAGCCAACTCGAACCAATCCCCACTCAGGCGTTTTTTAGTTTTCTTTTTCGACGTGAGTAATTTCTTTTCGCCTTGAGTAATTTCTTTCTACCGTGAGTAATTTCTTTTCGCCATGAGCAATTTCTTTTTGCCGTGAGTAATTTCTTTTTGCCCCGAACAATTTCTTTTCGCCGTGAGCAATTTCTTTTCACCGTGAGCGATTTCTTTTCGCCGTGACAGTTGTGGGCCACCGTATGCGACAGTAACCTAGTTCCAATTCAATTTTGCTTCTTACATGCTGAGATTTACAATGTGAAGTACTATCGTTCGTGTCTCCGATTGGACGAACGATTTAGTTTCACAGTCTGTCGCTTCCAGTCTTTGAGATGTGTCGGTCAGTAAGAAAAAATCTCAGTATTTATAAAATATAGACATCATACCATGGAAAGTGCTTGAACGATTTTTAGTCACTCGTTGCGATGCATCAAAAAACTTACTCGTTCGCTGGGCTCACTGGTTTTTTTTGTTTTGTTCGTTTGTTTGTTTTTTCAATGGATCGCAACTCGTGAATGGAAATCATTCGTACGCACTTTCCATGGAATCATCTCTATTTCTCTCTTTTTTTTATATATATGTAGTTTAAAGTTAAAAGTCCTGAACTTCAGGAAAGATCAAATTTTGGGAACTACGATGAACTAACTAATGCGTCTTGGAAACGGTATCAAATAATCAGAAACACGCAACTTTTAACAATTTTATAATCACGTCTCCTTAAGGTACATGTAGAAAGTGCCCTTTTTCGATGAATCCAACGTGGTCGCATCTCTACGTAGACCGTTAAAGTTCCCCTCTTCTTAGAAAGGAAGGCTTTCTATTTGACGGGGGCGAACTTGTTATGATGGAAGCGAATTGGTGAGGGGCGAACTTGCAATGGGACGAAACTTCCATAAACCTTCTAAGTGATCTGACTGGCCATCCCAGAAATCGATAAGTCCTAGTGCGCTTTTTTTTTTTCGAAGGAAATTTTCTAGGAGCGCTGTATCGACTCGAGATATCGTGATTTAAGATATACTTGTACACTTAGTTTTTTGCCTTACCGTTCGCTGTATTATCTTTGTAGGGGACGGGATCGCGGGTTACCTTTGAAGTACGACTCAAGCCAAGGACTTTTCACCCAGAGATAGCGATACTTAAAGAATCAGGCTTTTAAAGGCTTTAAAACGTGTGTGCAGAGAGAACATCCTAGCGCTAGGGAATCACATACATGGCGCAAGGACGCAGCTCGTCTACTTTTAGATGGTTCTTAATTAAATTTTACTTCGCAACAATTGTGTGATATTTTCTCCCGTTTTGTGTTGTTTATGTTCAGAGGGTCAGTATCGTTATCATTACCGTTTAACCCCTGAGCTGACCAGCTTCTAATTTCTCTCTCGCTGTTGGAACTGTCCGAAATCGTACGAGACCCTGGAAAATCAGATTGGACATTTCGAAATCAGACTGACCTGTGTTTACTTACACCTCTATTTTCTTACCTCAGTCTGTAATAAAAGGGACCTTGAGGACGAGAAAATCAATCAGCTGATCCTCTCTTGCCGTGTCATGTCTTCTCCAGAATGGAAGACTGAATAATATACTAAACAAATTTCAGACAATCCATTGCAATTACATCCAGTCGTAGCATTTTCGTATCACGCTTCCTTCTTTAGGTTCCATCCTTACCGAAAGACTGTTTGAACAACACTGTTTGCCACCCTCGGAATGTTCTCGTAAACCGTCTCCAGTATTCATTTTCGCGGTCTTATTTAGTGCAGCCCCTACCATATCCCTTGAAAATTTTGGATTTCTTTTGCAAAATGTTTTTCCACCTTTCACCCAACCCTTGCTTTTTAAGGGTGAGGAATAACAAGTATTATATATATATCTTATTAGACGTTTTGTTGTGTAGTATAGACCACTTTCATAAATGGCTGTCAGATTAATATTCTTTTGTTTAAATTGAAATTAGCCCTTCTGGCCTCATTCTACAGTATAATATTCAAAAGAGTACATTATCTCAAGTGAGGCCAGAAGGGCTAATTTAAATTTAAACAAAAGAATATTAATCCGGCAGCCATTATGAAAGTGGTCTATGTTGTTCATAAAATTGAGATGATGAAGACAAAAGGATAATTTACAAATGTTCTTGAACATTAGAAACTCTGATTGAGCCTAGATCCTCTAAGTTTTCAAGAATCAAGGATTATAAATCAAGGATTGGCTTTTTAAAGGACTGTCATTTGTTAGGAACAGTCTTGTGACAAAAAACAGACTTCAATAGTAGATGATACAATCACAAGTTTTTTTTCTTTCTTCCCTGTTTCTGTAGATATCTCCAAGTAAAACTTTGAGATTGATTGTGTAATTCTACACTTAAAGGTTCAGGATCTAATAACTTCTGATCAAATTCCATGTTATGCAATGTAATGCAGTAGTCTGTGTCACTAGCATCTAATTCCTCCTTTTAAAACCACCCCTGAATCAAACATCAAGGTCACAAGAATAAAGGAAATGATTGCCAAGAAAAGAAGCTCTTGATTGTTACACAAATTCTCCTTGTCAACACCTTAGGAAACGTATCAAGAACGTTTGGAGAATTTGCTTACTGATGTTAGGGTGTAAACGGTTAAAACAGTCGACTCAAAAGTCAGAAACTTGAATGAATTGGAAGTGGCATACCTGCTCCTGTTCTGAATGGTTGCCATTATTATTTATCATTAATGACATTGTCCTTTGATTGGTTTTAAAGCTGTGCACTTACATAGTAAGTTCAATCATGGTTTTCTGACAAGCTTGATCATGCCCAGGGAGTTAAGTTATGGCCTTTATCCCTCGGACCAGTTGATAGAGCTCTCTGGTGGCTTTAGTGACACTGATGTTGAGAATGGTAATGTGGGAATATTTTTGTCTTCATCAGGATTCAGATGTAAGTGAGTCCAGGATAAGGTGCACTCTCCTGTTTACAATCTTAAAAAAACTCAACAGACTTGCACATATGCGATGCAAGAAAGCTAGAGAGAGAACTCAAGAGGTTAGTGAACACCACTAGTTAGCTACAGTATTTCAGAATTTAACTGTTGAAACTGAAATATTTCAAACTCCTACATGTATCTCATGCCATAGCAAAAAAAGCCAGTTAGGTGGCCAGAAAGCTAGTTAGTTTCTTGAAGATCCTGTTACCCTCTAAATTTCCAACCCAAAGTAAAGTGTGTAGCGAGTGACAACTGTGCTAGTGGCAAAACTTTTCTTTTCTAATCGGTTTAAGAAAACAGTGAAAAAAGCTTAACTTCTATCAATTTGTGTGTTGATTTCTTTTAGCCCATTGCTAGTGCAGATCATGAAAATATAGCAGGCCCAACTTGATTATGAAAGTTTTATTGATGTTAGAACAAAAACTTAGCTTCTGTAAAGTTAATGTTGTTGGATTGTAGAAGTTTATGAAGTTCACCTTGCTTTCAGTGCATCCAGTTATTTGACAAAAATTTACAAGCCGGTAAAGAAACTAATAAATCTATGAATAACTTATCAACCAAAAGTATATTTGTTCACCTGTGCTGTAAATGAGCTTTAATTTTTTCCTATTCCCACCTTCAGTCTAAACAAAAAGTGGATAGTCTTCACCTGCAGTTACAGAACCTTCTCTATGAAGTGATGCACTTGAAAAAAGAAATTACAAAATGTCTTGAGTTCAAGTAAGTAAATTTTTTTTGAAAATGTTTTAAAATTTTTTTTTCCACCACACTCTCCTTTTTGGGATCATTTTGGCCTCATTTGTGATAGGGATGGTGAAGTGGTTGCCATACTGGACCCCTAAATCAAGAGAGCCAAGACACTAGCCCTTGCCAGGGAAATTGTGTTGTGTTTTGGGAAGACAGTTCACTTTCACAATACCACTTTTTAAGTCTGAAGTGTAGATGAGTACTGGCAAACTTCAATGGAAACTTTATAAATGCTTGGAAGTCATCCATGAAGGTGTGGCATTCTATCCAGGAGGAGAAGGAATACTCTTAGTTGCGTCATGTTATCAAAACCCACTAGGATGGGCTCTGGCCATAATGGTTACATGACTGGGAAGGCTTGACAGTAACATTTGGGGCCAGCACCTGTTCATCAACCCATAAAATGGGGCGATTTTTGTGAGCTCTTAGGGTTGAATATCCATGCTATGTTGTTATGCAGTGTGAAAAAAAAAAAACTTTAATTTACCTCTATGCTCATGTAGTAGTGCAGGAATGTTTAACAGAAATCTGATCAAATTGTAACCGTTGGTTTATTCCTGTAAAGTCAAATCCAGTAAGATTTGCTCTAATCTTACTGGCCTTGATGAATTTGAAACTATCTGACTGTATGAGTGGTTCTGATTTTACCCCAGACTTTTACCACTTCTAAACTGAATAAATTTCTCTTTGTTTGAATGGTATTAGGTCAAAAGACGAAGAAATAGAGCTGGTGTCGGAAGCTGAATTTTTTAGGGATGCTCCAAATGAAATATCCAGACCTGTAAGTAGCCAAGTTGGGATTGGTTTAAGTTTTGCGTAGGTGGAGAGGGTGGCAAAAGTTTACTAGATCAATCAAAGACTGTTGTGAAGCCAAATTATTAACACTTTTGGCTCTCAATTGAAAACTGCTTATTAGTAGAAACCAGGTTTTAGTATAATTATACTCAATAAATAATTGCTTTTATTGCTGGTATGTATTATAATTATTTAGGCCAGTGACTCTGGGATTCCTGTTAAAGTTAACAAAATATTTTTTAAGGATGTTACCAAAGGAGATTCTCATAAATTGATGTTGGCAAGACTTGACTGGGAACTAGAGCAGAGGAAAAGGTAAGGTGGACCCTTAACCCTTCAACTCCCAGAACTGATTATCATGTAGTTTCTCCCTCTGACATCCATACATTATCTAGCAAACAGGTAATGAGATTTACTCAAACTTATCAGGTAAAAGTTGTCATCTTGATAGAACACCAAATTCCAACAACTAGTTTACAAGGAAGTGAGTGGTGAGTAGAGGGGAGAATTAACAATCAGACCAGGGGAGTCAAAGGATTAACTTCTTCTGGCATAAGTAGTATCTTAGTCAAGGAAAGTGGTGCCATTATGGAAAACTTAGTAAAAAAAAAAACTTGGAATGCTGGCCTAATATAATGTTAAAACAACTTATTTTGAAAAGCAGTGTAGAAAGCAATGTTCAATTTTTTAAGTTTTTGAGTGATTTTTTTTAAGCCATTGTGAAAGGGATAAGGCAACAGAACTGAAAAAAAAAATCAAGTGTTTTGAACAGGTACTTAATGACAGGTACTTAATGGAATAGGTCATTCCTACTGACTCATGATCTGCATGTGCAAAACACATTTTCCTTTATTTGGCATTTGTGCATTCTTTTGTGTTGTCTTTAGGTTTTCCAGTGTCTCTGTCCCCTTCTCTCCTTTCAGAAGTTTCCAACTCATATCATTGTCTTTGTTTCACAATATTTCTACTGAATAAGTCAATTTCAGTATTATTGGTGCCAAAAGGAAATGAATCTGGGCTTATGGGACTCAGTTGGGTACATGTACAAGTCCCAAGAGTGGCATAACATTCTAGTTTAGGGTTTGTGGTTTCTTCCCTGAGGTATCAGTGTACCCACCCTCCTTTTGGGATGTAGGCTTAAATATTTCCTCTCTCCAGATGGCAACTGACTGCCTTTCCTTAAACCTTTCCTTTCCTTTGCCTTTCCTTTAAGTTTTAGGATAATTGTTTGAACTAATAATTTGTTTCCTTTTTTTCTTACTTTTCAGGTTGGCAGTGCAGAAAGAACAGTTTCTGAAAAAGAGAGAAACACTCTTGAAAGAAATTCACACCAAGAAAGAATTTTTGGACAGTCTACAACCAAGATTAGAAAATATCTTGAAGGTAAGTGGTGGGTATCATTCATGAAATTATTAGAATGCTCAAATTTTCATCCTCATAAGAATCTTCAAGGAGCACCTCTCCGTTTGCTCTTCAGGCCACACAACCTGTTCAGGAGTACATGAACATGCCACTGGATGCTCAGCGAGCACAGCATGAAACAGCACGATATCTCCCCCAGGCCCTGTACATTTTGTATGTCCAAGCATCAGCATACAATGAGGCTTGTGATCCTCATATGGAAGTCAAGATTCTTGGTGATTTAGATGTTGCTAAAGCTGCCATGGAAGCTAAACCTGTTGTTAGAGGTTTGTTGTCAGCTAAGTGGTTAGTAGTATTGCCAGTCTACCTCAACATTATTGCACAATTTTTTGTAGAGTCACAGGTATATTTTTTTATTTGCAGACATTGACAGTGATTCAGATCAGGAAAACACAGAAGGACACAAAAGGGTGCGACCACAGTACATTTTATATCTATATTTGCAGACTGATACTTAGAGGGGTTATGGCACATTACAAACTTCTTACTAATGTTAGTGTGAGGGCTGTACTGGGGAATATATTGGCCTAAAGTCATGGCATTGTGGACCAAGTGCACCAAGGTCTGTACAAAAACAAGGGAGGGCCAATATTCCCCAGTGCAGCTCAAGAATTTGTTGGTTGGTACTTTATTATATAACACTCAGCTCTATGTGGAAATGGTCATAAGGAGGTCACCATGGCAGCTGAGCTGCAACCCTCCTCCAGGAACCTGTCATTAGAACCCTTGCAAACTACTGTGCGGGGTGAATACTCAACCAAAATGAAGGGGAAGGGATGGAAACAAAGCAAGCAAAGTAGCAGGGCAATTTTAGTAAATTCACCTGGCTAACACTGGGCTAAAGAATAGCCCAGGATTGGTATGGCTGGAGAGCTCCTGTAGGTGGCCTATGCTGCAAAGGCAATGATGAAGACGATGATGACTTGGCTATGCCCCTAAAGCACTCTCCCAAGTCCTCACAATACATTGGTGAAACTTCTCTACTGGCTTGGTTTTAACCTGTCCAAAGTATTTAAAAAGTTTATCGTCATTGGAAGGTCACAGGAGGGCTTGTGACTTGCCTAAATGGAAAAAAGAAGAGTGCATTAAATCTGTTTTCTGTTTAGTCGAAGCATCGAAGAAAAAAAGAAGAGGCCCGTTTGGAGGAGAAAAGGAAATTGTTACTCAAGAAGCATCCTCTTCAAATCCTAATACAAGTTAAGTGTAAAGGTGAGTTTTATGCATTGCCACCACATCCAGAAAGAATGTAGTTATACAGTATTGCCACATTTTAGAGGGTTTTGCTACAGCTGTTATTGGAAAAATAATTGTTTCCACTGAGCAAGGATGTGTGTAATCCTAAGGAGACTGAGAAAAAAATGGCCTGAATATTGTGTTAGATCCAGAGTCTAGAAGTATCCTAAAGAAACTACTTTCACTTTTTTAGACTCTCCACCAAGTTTGGGTTTTGGAATATTTGATTTACTGGTCGATCTGATTTGTTTCAATTATTTTCCCACAAACTTTACTTTTTTTTCTTTTCTAGACAAAGCGACACTTGATTTGTTGTTCTCCTTTTTGCCAACATTCAACACTGTTGTGGTCTCACCATCACTGACTTTGAATGAAGCACTATCAGAACCAGTGTTGGCAAATAGGTAAGCACTGGACTTGTAAAGTGTCATGAAGTAGTGAAGATTGATTTAAAGCGTTCCTTCCTTTGTACTCTCATCCTGCCAAGGAAACATGTTTCTCACAAATAGAGAGAGGCAAAGTGTGGGTTTAGTAGTGTGAATAATATTCAGTTGCACTTACTTGCCTGCAGCATACGTGTTCAACTTTTTGGTTATGTCCAGCCAACTTGCAAACAGACGTTTACTAGTGTCAACTTGTGATATGCATTTATTTTTAGTGCGCTTCTTTCCCCTGATTCACTTTTAATCAATCTGTTTCCTGGTGATGATGGAAACACAGCTCCAAACACTTCGAGCTTGTATCAGCTTTCAAAAGTCGGGTAAGAAAGTTTTATTCTATTAGCTTTATGGCATATCATGGTGACAGGTGATATATATATCTTATTAACCAAGCGCGAGGGTCTAACTGGGAGAATATCGGCCCTAGGTCTTGACAGTACGGACCTCGCTGCACTCGGTCCGTACAAAAAAGACCGAGGGCCGATATTCTTCCAGTACGGTCCCGAGTAAGTTTGGTTAATAAGAGATTTATTATACGACTGAAGTTCAAAGGGACACAAGTGCGGTATTATTCGGGACCATTCGGGACAGTGCCCGGTCCATTACTAAGAGAATATTGCCCAGCAATAGAGCATTTTGATTGGTTGATTTTAGTTATTGGCCCTCTGACTGCCCGAGTCGTGTAATA